GAAGTTTCTGCAATTTTTTTAAAGAGTTCGCAAAGTTGGCTTTCATTACCGGAGGAACAAGGAGGATTATATACACATCCGACTAAGGCTTTCCTATTTTGAGGAAGGATTACCGAAGCAAAACATAAATTTCCAGAGAAGGGGTCTCGTAGAGGGTTGGTGGTTTCGGTGATATGTAAGATACAGACGGCACTGTCGCAAGGCGTCGTTCAAAGTACGCGGGGGGTGGAGCAGGAAGGAGTCGGTGATCGTGCGATCGAAGAGGCCTGAAATGAAACGGTGGATGATAAGGTCGTCTCGATCGGGGTGTGGTAAGTTGGGGAAAGCCGCGGAGGCAAGTCGGGTGAGTTCCGTTGCAAAGTCGTCAACAGATTGCCGGGGGGCCTGGCGTAACTTGGCAAATCGCTCTGCCGCGATGCCAGGCGCGTCAGGGGTGTCGAACAGCTGCACGACGCACTGGCAGGCGACGGGGAACGGGGTAGCTGGTGTAAGGCCGGCATCGAACGCGCGTCGCCTGGCGGATGGGGAAAGGAAACGTAGAAAGAAGCAAGTATGTTGGTGGGGTGGGACGTCGGTCAGGAAAAGATCTAAGTCGCACAGCCAATCACGAATTTTGTGCACGGGTTTGTAGGCGTCTGGGGCTAACAGAGAGCTGGGCGCTGGTGTAAAGACGGTCGGTGGGAGAGGCCACTGGGGGAGGTTGGGGAAAGGGTGGATCAACGAAAGGGTTCGTGGGCAAGGTAGCAGCCACCATTGTAGCGGCCGAGTAGGGAGGGGCTCTGGGGTACTTGGGAAGGCCTGAGGTTGAATATGCTGGCTTGTGGTCTTTCGTATGGGTATCCAAGGAAAACTCCTCAAAAAGTTGAGTTACTCCCTCATACACACTAGCAAATGAAAGAGATGGAGTAGACATAATAGCGACGGATGAACTGGATATAAAAGTTTATTGGCAAAAGGTTAGCGGAACGATATAAAAATAAGTCAAGCGCGATCTATTATAAAGGTAAAAATAGTGGGTACAGGTTATTAAACAAATACGGGAATACAAATTAATCCTATGAATCGACGAAACGCGAAATACGAAAAAAACTTGGTTAGTTGTGAAATAAACGAGACGTAAAACGAATGGGCAGTCCAGGAGTACGAAAACGATAGGAAAAAGGGGACTTAGCGGAAGGCGCGTCGACAGGCGTCGGCTCGTATCCACGTGACCCAAACTCTGAAAGGGAGGGCGGGAAGTAAAAAGGTCCGTTTAAAACAATCGGTCGTTACAACGTCATATGGGTTGCCAGACAGATCTAACGGCGTTTAACTGTGAGTGCAAAAGTAAGGCGTAAAACGTTCTCACGGAGGCCAATGCCCAAAGGGTGGTTACCGTCTTGGCATGTGTTTCTGTCCTGATTGGTGGGCAAACCGGGTTGGGGAGGCCATTGTCTAGCGCGAAGGACTTTTCTTTTTTATTTCCTGCCCAACTGACTAATGATGCTTCATGTCCTTGCCGAGTCCACAACTAGGGTATGCTTATTGCATAAACCGCCCTGTAGAAACAATCAGCCAAATAAATAACTTATTGCTATCTGTTTCCGGGGGATGGGATGAACTGGATTGAATTGAGCCAACTGTCGAAATCCCAGCTATTGGTCCTGCTTACCCATCAGTATGGCATGCGCGTCGTTCTCCAATTTATTTAACCAACTCTATGAGAGTATTGGTTTTGTATATGCAGGGCGACAAGAACTGCCCACTGACTAGTGTAAGACTGAACAAACGCCCTGGGTGGCTAAATAGCAACCTCAAGAAAGAAATCAACAGGAAGCACAAATTGTGGAGAAAATACTGCGTGACTAGACAAGCTGAATGCTTCAACACCTACAAGACACAGAGGAACAAACTGAGGAAGCTGATAATGCAGACGCGGCGGGAATTCGAGAAGAACTTGCTACAAAAAGCAACGCAGAACCCAAAATTGCTCTACATCTACCTCCGATGAACTACAAGGAACAGGCATCAAATCCCTTTGATAAAGACTACTGATGGCGATGAGATCACTGATAGTAGGGATAAAGCTGCGTATTTTTCACGGTTTTTCCAATCAGTCTACACAAACGAGACAAGGTTCCTTCCTCCCTCCACAGAAGAACTGCCGACTCCAAGCGTCAGTGATATACTCTTCTCAGAAGGCATTGTCCGAAGAGAATTAGAGGCATTGAACGAATCTAAGTCGCCAGGACCAGACGAGATTCCACCCAAGCTTCTGAAGGAACTTGCCAGTGAGCTCTCTGTGCCTTTGTCGATGCTCTTTCAAACGTCATTTGACACTGGAACACTTCCTGTCGATTGGAAGCTGGCGCAACTTCCTTAAGTGGATCGAAAACTTCCTTGTGGGTCGACACCAGATTGTGTGCGTCGGTCGGGGAAAATCAGATCCGGCTATGGTCGATAGTGGTGTCCCCCAGGGCTCAGTATTGGGATCCCTTTTGTTCCTTATATGCGTGGACGATGACACAAGAGCTTTGGACTAGGAAGTAGCAATGTTTGCCGATGACATGAAGATATGGAGTGTAATTCGGGGTCCTGCCGATGAAGACAGACTGCAGATGAACCTGAATCGGTTGGAGGAGTGGTCAAACTGTTGGCTCCTGCGGTTCAACGTTGCCAAATGTAGCATACTTCGCCTAGGCAACACAGCCAGATCCGCCAGCACAAGAGGCTACTTTCTGGGCGGTGCAGCCCTACAAGAGGTCGAAGCCCAAAGGGACCTCGGTGTGCTGACAACGAGTTCCCTAAAACCATCCACCCACTGTTCGAGGGTGGCAAAAAGCGCAATGTCTGTACTGTACGCCATCAAGCGTGCGTTTATGGATTTTGACGAAGAAGCTTTCTCTAAGACATTCGGAACATTCGTCCGGCCGCATTTAGAGTACGGCATACAAGCTTGGAGGCCGTGGGCTGTTGTGGATCAAAACTGCCTCGAAAGAGTCCAGAGGAGAGCCACGAAGATGGTTAGGGGTCAAAGCTCCTTTCCTTATGCAACCCGCCTAGTAAATCTGAACCTCTTTCCTTTGAGATACAGGCAACTTCGCGGAGATCTCTTGCAAGCCTTCCGCATTGTAAAGGGGTTGGATTGCAGTCTGGCCTTCGAGGACTTTTTTGAATTTGCTACCACGACCAACCTCCGAGGTCACCCGTTAAAACTGCGCACTCAGCAGGCACGGCTGGATGTGCGGAAGTTCTCCTTCGCGGTTCCGGTGGTCAAACCATGGAATGAGCTTCCCGCAGATGTTGTGATGTCACCATCTATACAAATTTTTAAGAAGAATCTGGACATATTTATGTTCCGAAATGACCAAGAGCGATGAGAAGTCGAGCTCACCCCTGTAACTCCTTCTCATTTTGTCCCACCATTATGGGCGTGTTCGAACTATTTCAGCCCAGAACATCTATCTGTACACCACACATTTTTTACGTTGCAAATAGGGTACTCAAAGGCTTACGCCTATTTCCCTCGATAAACTGAACTGAACTGAACTAAAGCAGATGGAGTCTGTCGATGTGGTGGCTGATTACTGGCTCAGAGGAGTACGCAAACTGCTGATGGAATGATATTCCGGGATGAATTGTGCAAGCGAACTGAAGTTCGACAAAACGGGCTTGTTCATTTGGACAGTCAACTTCGGCTAGGCAAATTGCTCCGGGCGTCTACTTGGTTCGTATTTTCCATTTCAGTCGCCGCGTGTTCTGAAACAGTTTCCACTAGCGCTCGTTCGGCTATTGAATGTTGCAAGATTGCGTGTATGTATGGTCTACTGTGCCGCAGAAATTTCGACACGGAATGACATGCAAACAGTGACGTTCCAATCATAGACTTGAAGTGCCGCCGAACCCTTCGCTCATTCTACATACCCAGACATCAGGGAAACGGCAACAGCTGTCACGCCAGCGTGACGTAAAGCATTACGCACTGTTCTTTCACTGAACTAAGTACCCGTACTTCTTTCTAATTCATTCCAAGTCCTTTTGTTACCCCTTCCCAAGAAACTCACTACTATACACCTACTTCGAACGATTATTTTATGAATTACGCCAGCCGTCTCTAGACTGTCATGACAGTTTATCATGAAGGCATTCAGGGTAGTAAACGTAGATTTTAAAGGCAAAACTTATATGCACGCGGTCTGGAAGTAATTCACCATTGGTTGTCGAGACAGTCCATCCAGGAACACGAATTGTTCAGCGGGGTACCCTGACGTAAGGTAGGGTTTTGGGTCTACAGGACAAAAATACTCCATAATTAGTGTACAAAGTCGACTTATAGTTTGATTGAGCTGCTGTCTGTTGCTTTCGAACCCGTCCTGCAAGTTGGCCAGGCGACTTTTTCAGTTAATTTGTGGACAGTGACTCAAGGTCAGCTAACCTTGCCTAGCCGTCTGCATTCCTCGTCCATGGGCCTTCGCATACCGAGCAGTGACGCACGTAATCGCATACATACGCACAACAACCTCGTTAACCTTCGGTCCATAAGGGCTATCCTTTATTCTCCTTCCTTCGGAGTGTATGCGGAGACTGGTCTCGTCTATATATTGCGTAGAATTTGCGCTGGACGAAGTCGTCGACCAACCCTCCAACAAGACATGTGAGGAAAAGCGTCCAATGCGTTGTAATGAAAGCCTTCGTAGCCTACCAGCTGATTACGATAGTCCTAAGGGTAGGCGTTAAGTTGCCGAAACTCCATGGCCGATCCTAATCGCCGGCTTACTGGATTTATAGACTACCGACCGGCTACCTCATCAGTGGTTGTTGATCTCCAAAGAACCTGCTTCTCTGACCGGCATTAGCATCCAAGCGTTTAGCGTAAGTTTGCTAATATGATGTTCACTTTTTAGAGTTGGATGCCATATATGTAACCCGGTTTGAAGATAACGCCCCCATCAGTTTTTGCGTCCTTCGGACCTCCTGAATGATTACATGCAACTGTACCTATGAGCGACGATGTCAGCCGTTCATCATCCCTAGATTTAGAGAACTAAATGGAACTATTTAGCGCACTTAGATAGAAATCTTCTGGTCTTCGTCTTTGCTGAATGGCCGCCTTAATTTCTCGTAAACTCTCCCAGTATCTTCTACCCAGGTGTCTTTGTGTCCCCCCGGATTCTTGCCTAAATATAACTAGCAGCGAGGTAACAGCAATAAAAAGGTATTAATCAGTAACGGTAATGGACAAAAAAGACAATCACGTCATGCATTCAAGGCCTTCCTCGTGCGGTAATGACGCGTGTTCGCGCGCGTGACGTCGCAACGCGATTACAGATCGACAACCAGTGAAAAGTCAGATTACATAAGCGGTGTAGCCAATGACATTTCCGAGACTGCTATCTCGAAAACTCACTATTTCAGCACATCGACTACCGGGGGTTCGACCCAGAAATTGGAACAACGACTGAACATATGGAAGGTAGCTTAGGGAGAATTAAACGCCGACTACGCGTCATGCAAGGTTCATTTGAGATCGCTAAGAGGAACACCTGGAAGGGACTCAATATCGGCTGTAATTGCATTTCCCAAAAGCCACCTTTCGCAGAAACTAGTTTCTACCTGTTAGTCATGTCGTCGATAATTCCCTGCAAAGTTTACTCCAGTTAATAGTTTTATCTTAGCGGTACACATTGATTCACCTAGCGCCTCAGTTCCAATTTATTTTGAAGGTTGTGCGTTTTGTTAATCCCTTCTGCATTAAAACCAGTGCTGTCATGGCGT